GTATATGATATTTCTTAATTATTATATTCTAATAGCTTTTTTTCTTGACTTGTTTAAAGGCTGACACAGGACAGTTTATTTTAAGTCAGTGAGCTTCTGTCACTGGATAAAATCCAAATTTATAAAAAGGAATTACAGTGTATTTAAATATCATCTTATACTAGAAATTAGGAACAAAATTAATAGCAAGAACAATTGTGACATGTAACATGTATTTAGGAATTCAGCTTTTCTTTCCTTTTCACCTCAGGAGAATTCACATTAAAAATATTGAATATTCACAGTAAGCACTCCGACATATCTGACATATATGATTATTCTTATCTACACTTAGCTATCTATAGGTTATCAGAATCACTCACATTTATAAATTTAAATAATTTTGAAAAAATTGCTGTTTAGCAAAATAGATGAAATACTTGGGGGTGTCTGTGGTGGATTGGTTGACTTTGAACCTATTAAGCCTTTCACTGCTGTAGGTTCGAGCTCTGCAAGGGTTTATGGATTATTTCATGTGAGAAAGCTATCCAGCTTATTTTATGGAACATTGATGGTACCCAGGTGCCTGAAATCATACACATAGGTGCACCAAGGTCTTCCTCAACCAGTAAAGCTGGAAATTGTGCTTTAAATTGCTCTTCCCCCCCCCCCCCCCCCTCCCCGAACAAAACAACAAAAATAATGGCATTTTTATTTTGCAATTAACTTTTTCTAAACAAATATTTCAGGAAACAGAGGCGTTTTGTATGATAGAACAGTCATAGCAGGAGTGATAAGGACAGATGCATGTAGATGTGTCTTCATGTCGGAAACACTACTAGAGAAATTGAAATATTTGGGTTTTTCAAAACTTAAAAGAAATTGGAATACCAGGAGACTGCTTGCCCTTTGCAATGTTGGATGATGTGATGTCGAAAGCCTCATGAATATAGTAACTTGACTTAATCTAATTAGAAAAAGAAATGACATTGAGGAGAAAAACTAGTCACCAGTCTTTCACCAAGAACATGAGATAACTTTCCAATATTTGAAATATCATAATATGTATAGAACTTTAATGAGCGAACAGTTTTTCACCAGGAAATAAAGATCACTTATCTATTTTTGAAATATGTATGAACAGAACTCTATCAACTTCAAGGTGAGAGTTTATCACAAAGAACATGAGATAACCTATGTATGAACAGAACCACATTTGTATATAGAGGCGCCAGTTCATCACCAAGAAGATGAGCTAACTTATCAATGTTTGAAATCTGTTATACCCCCGCACAACAAAGTTGTAAGGGGGGTATACTGGAATCAGCTTGTCCAGCCCGTCGGGAGTTTGTCAGTTTTTTCTTGTCCGTCCAATAACTTAAAGATTCCTTTGACCCACAGTCTTCATATTTGGCATGGAGGTAAGTCATGATTAGTAGATGACCTCTTTTAATTTTGAGAACACCAAGTCAAAGGTCAAGGTCACAGGGTCTTGACTGAAGAAAGCTTTTCTGCCCAATAACTTAAGAATCCTTCGACCCACAGTCTTCATTTTTGGCATGGAGGTTAGTCATGATTAGTAGATGACCCCTATGTATTTTCAGGTCACCCAGGTCTAAGGTCATGGTCACAGGGGCCTTGGCTAATTAAAGCTTGTCCTCCCAATTACCTAAGAATCCTTTGACCCGTAGTCTTCATATTTGGCATGGAGGTTAGTCAAGATTAGTAGAATACCCCTATTGATTTTGAGGTCACTGGGGCAAAGGTCAAGGTCACAGGGGCTTTTATTACAATTAGCTTGTCTGCTCAAATGGTCTCATATATTTATCATAAAACACCTCCAGACAAGGCTGCATGAAATGGGGGGGGGGGGATGTTATTGAAGTCATTCAATGGCAGTTTCAGTTTTGAGGTCAGTAGGTCAAAGGTAAAGTTTCACTTTGATCTTTTCCACTAAAACATGTAGAATACATAACTTAGCAATGCACTGGCTTACTTCCCTCAGATTTGCTGGGAGGTTGTCTGAGCTGTAAATGACTACTGGTGTGATTCTGACAAATTGGTATGTGGGGGTATTCACGCCATGACAATGGGCAGTTCTAGTTTGTACAGAAAATATCAAGGTGCAAGTTTCTTTTATTAAGAATAGACTTATTGATTAGATAACTTACAATATTTACAAACATTTATAATACCATACCCATTTAAAGTATTTCAGCTGAGAGTGTATTATCCAAAATACATTGTATTGTTATAATGTACTTTATAGTATATTTATTGTAAAGTTTTGATTCTACTAGATTTTAAAAACATTTAGATTTTACTAGATCTTGAAAATATTTTGTTCCATGCTCTTTCATTTAATTTTGAATAATGAATCCAATAAATACCTATAATAAGTATAGGATTAAAATTGATAATGTTTTCTATCTTTAACTTATATAAAAGTACAAAAGTAATGTTCAAACTGCTGGTTAGATTTCAAACAGGACTAAACAAGAGTGTACAGTGCCATCCTTAGTTGTGCACATTGTTGGCATGTTCTCATCGTCAGATACCCACGGCCGAACCATTAACATTCATCATTGATTGCATGTTATGTGACATGTTTATCAATCGTGGGTATCCGACAATGGCATGTTTCTGTTTCTCTGCACAAAATGGCCCCAGAGTTAAAAAAAGAAAAATCTATCACATGTAAAACTGCCAAAATTCAAAAGAGTGATCAGAACCATACACAGTTTTGGGAGACATGTTTTTGTGACAAAAGCCCTTCAAGTTCATATATAACCTTGACTTTTATTTGATATAAAATATCTGGAGTTAGCTGGAATTGTCATTACTTTGCTATTTTTTTACAGATTTGAATCATGCTTGAACAAACAAACACAGAACCAACATGTTGAATTTTTCTGATATAACTTTGACATTTAAATGACCATTAACTCCAAGGTTAAACAATTGAAATTCGATCACATTGTCATAACTTTGTTTTTGTCTATGATTTGATTCATTCTTGGACAAAAGAACAATTATCATTCAACTATGACCTTTACTATTCAAATTTGAAATTTACTTTATACATTTATATTATGTTTTCTAGGAGTACTCTAATAGATATTACAATATTCTCCTACTGATGTGTTTTGACTTCCAATATTAAGAAAAAGCCGAGCATGGCCCAGGCTAGATAGTGGCTCTTGTTTTCAATGCCAACTTGATTATATGTATCCATTCCAATTTACATTCTCACATGTATTATCTATTGTGCTTGAAAGGTTTCTACAAAAAACAAGTTTGTTCTTACAGTCCTGGTTTTATTTTAGAAATATTTTAAAGACAGTTAAATTTTCTGTTTATTTTTTATCTGCATAATCATTTCTTGGAATAAATATAGTAAGTACACTGATTTATGTGTTATACACTCACATAAGGAAGTACTTTACATGAAAATTGGTTAAACAATTATAGTTTCCCAACAAAATCCAATGTCGTAATTTAAAATGTTTATTCATGATATATATATATGATATCAATTGTACATTTTGCCTGGGTTTGTTAGTATGTTCTTGGTACATGATTTTCAATTTTGACAAGAGTTTGGCGATACTATTATATTGTGTACAAAATGGGCACTTATTCAACTTTGAAAGAAGAATGATATCAGATTGGAACACCTAAAGTAGATTGCTATACAAATCTCGAATTTTTGTATGCAACATATTGCGCCCCCATCAGTGCTTTCAGCACTTTGATTTATCTATGCAGTCCAACCATGCTCTGTACAGTTGATTGGTATTTTTGTGCCCCACTAAAGGGTGGACAGTGGACATTTAAATTTGCCCATTGCCCCCATACTTACCTTGCATCCCTCCATTCCCATGCTGTGTCACATGTAGCTCTAAAAGTGCTTGAGCTAGTCAACATTGGAGCGTTTACCTGTGGATTAATTCAATTTTGTTAAAGTTATTGCCCTTGACATAGTAAAAAATGGCAATTTACTCGCAGCCTTGTCTGTTCATTGTGCTTTTCCAGAGCATAACTTGAAAACCCTTGGAGATAGTGTGTTTAAACTTCACACAGTGGTAGAGGGCATTGAGGCAGAGTGCAGTGTCAAAGAAACATAACTCTGTTTTGCCGTTTTTTAATTATCTCACCTTTTAGAAAAATCTTGTAAGAGATATCAGCATGAAACTTTGTAGGTAGATAGATCTCAATAGGTATATGTGCAGTGGACAAGAACCGTAACTCTACCTTGACTAATTTTGGAGTAATTGCCCTTTGTTCATTTTTACACTTTGAACATTGTCTGGAACATAACTCGGAAACCATAAATAGTATCAACAAGAAACTGTGTAGGTAGATAGATCTAATTGGGTAGATGTGCTGTTTACAAGAACCGTAAATCTGCCTTGCTAAGTTTTCGAGTTATTGCCCTTTGTTTATTTTTACACTTTGATTTTTGTCCGGGACAAAACACACTCCAGAGCAATTGACGTAAGCAAAAATGAGCCATTGTAAAATGAACGCTACATACTTTAAAAAATGCTCCAGTAAATTGTTTTAGTCTACAGGATCTTCTTCACAGCAATATATGGCTCAAAGCTCTTACAGAAGGCTAATGATAGGAAAAGGCCTGCGTAAAATGGTCGATATTTGGACCGGCGATTAGTTCTTTAACTGTATAAAATCTAAGATATTAACGTAAAATGACCTTATATTCTAGTGCAAACCGTTAGTACAGCAATTGTTTTATTCCTTTACAGATTCAATTTTGTATAAGTTTGGAGGGTCGTCCTAACATAAGCCCTAACACAAGCAGTATATCCAGGAGTTTCTGGCATGGCATGGCTGTTTAAAGCGCAAGTGGTTTGAAATCAATAACCTTTACCACTCGGCCACAGAGGCCCCAAAAAACCTCATTTGAGTCCCTTTAACAGCTCTACATGCATGTGCTAAATTGAGCTTAAAATAGGTACGAGATAATCATTTGTGTATAAAGAATATACAAGAAACGAACATAATATTACTTTCTTTTATTCCACATTCACATATAAAATAATAAGTATATGTAACAAAATGCATAAATAAAACTTCTATTTATAGTTAGATATACATCGAGAATAAACTTGACCCTTAACCTGCTGAATTTGTGTAATGGAATTGCCTAAGATTTTAATTTGGAACAGTCCATTCAAAGTTTAAGGGATTTCAGTACCAAAATACAAAAATTGGACTACCAACAGTATAGAACCTGGATAGACTGCAGGGATGTGCAGGCTGACCTCGCTCTACACTGGTGGCACAGACTGTTCACTTCCGGTTCCAGCAGGTCAAAGGTTTGAAGTTGCACTAAGCTTTCAAAATGATAATATCATAATATCACAGTTAAGATATCATGTGTGAAACTTTGCCATACAACATTCTTATAAGTTACTGTCAGTAACTGAATACCTATGCAACTGAATAATTTAACATGAAATATTCAAAGATAAAACAACAAGAATGAAAAAATTATTTGAATTTACCAAGCACAAAAATATATATCAGATTCAGGAATGTTTTACTACATTAAACAGATTGGCTTTTATTATTACATTCATTTTATTCAAGTTAATGTGACAGACAAATATTACCTCGGTCTTTGGACAAAACTAAACAACTTTTGACGTCATGTTTGTAAATTTCTAGATTTGAATGAATCTGACTTTTTGTCTGCAGTTTCATTATTATTACAAGACAAGGTGTTATCACAACAACAATTCTGGTTATCCAAATTGTTGATGCTGTAACTATCCTTTATAATACAATAATGACAATGTCATAATTCAATGTCAAGGTCACCTATTTCACTGAAAGTTTATTTTTATTGTCCAGGTCACCTGTTTCATCTAAAAGTTAATTATTTACTGTCAAGGTCACCTATTTCACTGAAAGTTTATTTTTTGTCAAGGTCACCTGTTTCATTGAAAGTTAATTATTTACTGTCAAGGTCACATATTTCACTGAAAGTTTATTTTTTGTCAAGGTCACCTGTTTCATTGAAAGTTAATTATTGACTGTCAAGGTCATTACACTGCAAGTTAATCATCTGTAAATGTTAATGCCACCTATTTCACTGAAAGTTAATTCTTTACTGTCTAGATCATTTCACTTAAAGTAGTTCTCTTTTTTTTCAAGGTCACCTATTTCACTGAAAAATCACCCTTTCAAGGACAACTGCATTTACGTGTTCTTCACCAATGGTTCCAACCTAAATTATCAAAAGACATTTTTTGAACTGCTGATGATACCTATTTTATTAAAAGGTTATTTTTTCACTGTCAATGACACCTGTTTCACTGAATGGTTATTCCTTACTGTAAGGTCACCTATATTTAAAAGAATGGTCATCTATCACTTTTTCAAGGTCACAATTCTCAAAGGAAGGTCAACCATCACTTTCAAGGTCCCAATTCTCAAAGGAATGTCAACCATCACTGTCAAGGTCACCAATTTCATCTTCATCACCTCCCATTGCTCTCCAGAATGCTATGGCAACCTAATAAATGCAGAAGATTCATTAACATTCATACTTAATGCCAAATAAGAATTATGAATACAACTACAAATGATTGGGAAGTGGCGAGATAAGCAATTGTTTATTGTATATCTGTTTTTAACACATTTTTTGTCATAATATTATCTCGCAGTCAGTCCACTTTACATACAATCCAGGATGATATCCAAAAATTAGGTGCCCGTTTGTGCCTGAAATAATGCACGGAAGGGCACCTGAGGTCTTCCTCCACCAGTAAAGCTGGAACGTCGCGATATGACCTATACTGTGTCAATGTGACATAAAACCCAAAACAAACAAACAAAAAAAATATCCAAAAATTACCATTTACTTCACATGTGACTGACTACTTTGATTTCTCGATCAACGGTGCAAAACAAATGACCATAATACTTGATGTCTAAGATCAGATGTCAAGTATAAATTTAGCATTGCCTGGGAATCGAACCTGCAACCCCTAGAATTCAAATCTGATGCTCTCCCTATTGAGCTAAGCAGACAATCATGTCATATAAAGTCTGTTGACTTTAAGTACCACATAATAATCATAAAATTGTCAGAGTCCAACATTCCTTCATAAGTTGAGTACCTAATTATATTTTGCAACAAAAATTTGATATTGTATGAAACAGATATGTGCTGATTTTTATTTTGGTTTGGTTAGGTTTTAAATTGCGAGTCAAACAAACACTATAAAAAGGTGATATGGCAAATTTCCAGATTTTCTGGTGAAGGACTACCCCTGGTGCCCCTCTGTACATTATTCAAAGCAATAGTGTGCATCTGAATATAGCCACAGAATGATATTCTATAAATTAGCTGTATAGCTTCTTCTCATGAAATAATTTAAAAACTCACACAGGTTTTGAAACCGTAGCAGTGTAGGTCAAAGTGATTTGAATTCAACAATCTTGACCGCTCGGCCACTGAAGCACATGCTGATAATACGTCTCCTTAGTGCAAAAACAGGTTAACAGTATTAAACCATATAAGAAGTTAACCCGTTCCTGCACTAAGGTGACAAGTACTGACATTTGAAAGTTACAGATACTTTCTTCAGAAATTTGACAATGCAATTTTTTTAAGGAAAGGCAGGTTATTTGAGAAAATATATTTCACATCTGCTATTTACTATTTTCAAAAGGGCTTTATTTGTTTATTTAGCTATAAGTAACGATATACTTTAAATTTAATACTTACATTTTCTGCATATTTTTTTCTTTCTTGTAATGGAAGATTATTGGCCTTTTCTGCAAATATAAAATAATACAATTAAATTTCTAATTGTAATAAAATGTTCAATGTTAAGAAAACCAATTTGAGCCGCGTCACGACAAAACCAACATAATGGGTTTGCGACCAGCATGGATCCAGACAAGCCAGCGCATCCGCACAGTCTGATCAGGATCCATGTTGTTCGCTTACAAACTCGATTACAAGTAGAGAAACTGATAGCGAACAGCATGGATCCTGATCAGACTGCGCGGATGCGCAGGCTGGTCTGGATCCATGCTGGTCGCAAACGCACTATGTTGGTTTTGTCATGTCGCGGCTCAGTTGTTAGATGTGACAATCAATATACACATAATGCTGATGTTAATAATAAACTCGGGATTTCAGACCCTAATGAACATCAGCTTTTCATTTCTTTTCTAGAAAATTTAAGATGAAGCATATCCATGCCATCTAATCATTGACAGCTATGTTCACTCATCAGTCAGACCTTACTTTGAAAATTACCTAAAAATGATGAATGCTCCATTTTAGATATAAATAGCATGTTTAGGATAAAATTTCCTTATTATTTTTTTTTTTCAAAAAATTTATTGACAGATTATGTTTGGTATAATACTAAAATACCAGATCTATACTGTATATAATAGTAAAATGAAAACCCTTGAAAAAATAAGTGTCCAAGAATGTGTGAGCTGAGGTAGATAAGTATGTACTATCACCCTCAAATGAATGTGATATGTATGTACTATTACCCTCAAATGAATCTGATATTTATGTACTGTCACCCTCAAATCAAATTAAGCATTTTAATTTTCTTACAGGAGAAACTGTCACAGATCAGATTACCTTTCATATGTGCAAATTTTTCAAAAAGTTTCTCAAAAGATTCCCCTCCAGGGTCTTCACTGCCAAGTGCCTCAAATAACGCCATATCCTCTGATGGTAACAGCGAGTCTAAATTGTCAAAAGAAAAACACATAACAACATTGCGTTTCACTTCATATCTTATGTCTAATTGCATAATGATACAAGATGTTTTTGCAAAACACTATGACATCATTAAACATCCAAGAATAGTGGTATGCAGTAAAGTTTGGGTGAAATTTAATTAATTTGAAAATTTGACCTTGAAGGTCATAAAGGGTTCAAGGTCATATTTCATTGTGTTAAAATTAAGTTTGATATCTTGTATCCTTAAGATCAGCTAATTAGATTAGAAATCACATCATTTAGTTTATAACTTAGGGAGAAGTTGTTAATCACTGTTTAATTATCCAGAAAAACTGGTTAAAAGTGAACCAGTTATTCAGATAATTTTATGACCTAAAATGATTTAAAATGGGCATAAAAACTAAAACTATAAGCTGTAATTTGACCACCTGAAACTTTAACAGGTATTTGATTAAGTTAACTTAAACTGTCATTACCCTGGCAGGATGAAAAGGGGCTGAGGTAACAATGACTGGTGCAAATTTTAGACCTGCGCAAACTAATCAATCATTTTAGACTAAATTATTATTATTATTATTTAGACTAAATATTGACAAAATACAGTCAAATAAGCCATTTTTTTATTAAAAAAAACCCAACAAATAAAACAGTGATTATTCAAATGATCTATATCTTTACCTAATCTTTCCTCTTTAGACTGAGTCTTTGCTTTTTTCTTCGATTTTTCCTTTTTACTATTACCACATGCTCCTTCAGTATTTTCATCAGTTTTTTCATCAGTAACATCCATTTTATTATTATCACAGTTATTTTTAACTTTTTCTTCAGTCACATGACCATCACATGATATTGACTGGTTCTCAGAATTGTCTGTTTTTGAATTTTCAGAACACAGTCTATCATTTTGAATGGTTTCATTTTCAGAATCTTTGCTATTGTTACTGTCACATAGATTTTTGTCATTGTTGAATTGCTTTGCTTCATGCTCTTCCTTCATTAGTTGTCTCATGAATGGACTCGCCACATGCTGTTCGTCTGAAATGAAACATACCCTAATTTAACTCTACTACCTATTTAAAAAAATGGACTTGCCCTTATTTAAAATTTAAACAGTCCATTTTTATTATAAGGAGGTTTCAGTATCTAAAAAGCAAAAACTGGGCAGCATACAGACTGTATAGTCTTTCACTAGCTCTATCTAATATTATTATTATTGCTTTTTTTTTTTTTTAGGCAAACCAATTATTCATATCTGTGCTAGCCAGTGGTTTGCTTTTGTAAATAGGTTGTAAGTTTTTTTTCCTCGTCTTTTGTTTAACTATCATTTTTTATAACGATTTACACACCAATACTATTGTCCTTTATCTTTTAACTAAATGTCTTTTAATAGCAACAAAGATTAATTACGGAGTACTTTCTTATGAATATAATACATAATCATTAAAAAAAAAGCCTTTAATGTTGAAATAATTATAAAAAAAATTTAATTTCAATAAAAATTTGTAAACCCGACTGACATAAATTTGTCCAAAATTCTTGTAGAAACAAAAAACAGACATAAAAGTGTTTTATAAGTCTATGTATATTTCTTTTAAACAGCTGTTTTTGACAAAAACACACCATAATATACAAACTTATATAATTGCTCTATATACAGTATAACTAAAATATTTACAATACAAACTCAATACTCTCACCACTGTAGGTTCAAGCCAGTCATCGCTGAAAACTACATGTGAGAACCTTACCCAGCAAGCTTAAGGAATGTTGGTGGTTCTACTCAGGTGCCCATTTGTGCCTGAAAAAATGTATGTACAAATGGAACCAGAGGTCTGCCTCCATCAGTAAAGCTGGAAAATTGCCAATACCGTGTTGCTGTGATGACCCCCCCCCCAAAAAAAAAAGAAGAATATAATTCCGACAAACTAACTCCATAATAATAACTAAGTATGAAAATAAGTATTACCTTTGAGATTTAGATTTGGCCACGTGTGAGCATGTAGAGATTGCACAATCCTCTTAATACCTGTAGTCTCCAGGAAATCATCTGAAAATCAATCGATAAATGTCTCATAAAATATATATTGCAGGGGAGAACTGTTTCCTGATGTTGTAAGAACCCATGGTTCAACCCTTTTGCTACTTCTGTATTAATATTTTAATAATATACTGTTAAAAATGTGTACCAAAAGAGCAATAAAATATGTTTAAATCAACAAAAAAAAAATCTTAAAATATAATAATCTCCCAATATGTTAGCTAAATAAACCAAATTAAAGACATTCAGTTGTCACAAGTTATAGTGAACTTGGATATAGCTTACACTTCCCTAGACAGAAAACACTTGCTAGGTCCCAATTATGTACATATGAGCCGCGTCATGACAAAACCAACATAATGGGTTTGCGACCAGCATGGATCCAGACCAGCCTACGCATCAGTGCAGTCTGATCAGGATCCATGCTGTTCGCTATCAGTTTCTTTACTTGTTATAGGGTCTGTAAGCGAACAGCATGGATCCTGATCAGACTGCGCGGATGCTGGTCGCAAACCCATTATGTTGGTTTTGTCATGACACGGCTCATATCTACTTCTGGTCATTCTTTGCCACAATACTTGCATTAAATATAACATGCAACATTATTTTTTGGGGCATCTGTGGCCGAGTGGTTAAAGTCGTTGACAAACCACTTGCCCCCTCACCACTGTTGGTTCGAATCCTGACAGGGACTTTGTATTCTTTCATGTGAGGAAGCTATCCAGCTAGCTTACGGAACCATGGTGGTTCTACTCAGATACCTGTTCATGCCTGAAATAATGCACGGAAGGGCATCTGAGGTCTTTCTCCACCAGTTAAGCTGCAACGTCACCATATGACCTATACTGTGTCAGTGTGACTTAAAACCCAATCAAACAAACATTATTTTTTTAGCAATTTCCTATAAAGGGTTCTGTGTATATATAAAACATTTGTATTTTATATTTGTTAATGTGTAACATGTCTGTATATTGCTTATAATTTTATTAGATGTATTTATAGTAAATGTTAATGTCACAATTTATCTTTGTCCCCAAAGGTTGTTTATTATGATTTGATGTCACACCTGTTGGAAAAATGCTTTTGCAAAACATGTTTTACAAAATTTCACAATAAAGGGCATTTTTTTCCATTCCCAAATGGCTGATTTTTTAAAATAAAATCTGCAATTTTACCTTTACCTTACTGAATATCTAAAATAGCCAAAACCATTTATCATTTTCATGGAAAATTTTAAAATATGTATTGACTAATAGTGCAGACCATGATCAGAGAGCATGGATGTGCCAACTGATTTTGGCTTGCAGTGGATGCGTTGTGAAATTTAGTTGCCCCTGTAGCAGGCAAGGAGCTAAACAAGAGGGCCATGATGGCCCTGAGGTCGCTCACCTGTATATAGGCCCCCCCACCCCCGGGCCAATTTTTACCCAAGGGCTTTTATTTGTTTATTTGAACAGACTTGGTAGACACCCATAAGAGGATGTTTCATGCTAAACATTTAAGTTCTAGCTCATTGGGTTTTTTAAAAGAAGATTTTTAAAGTTTTTACTATACACATATAGTTAAAAACAATGACACCCTGGGGCAGGGCCAGTTTTGACCCCCGGGCTTTTATTTGAACAATCTTTGTAGATATTTACTTAAAGATGTTTCATGCTTAATATCTAAACTCTAGCTATTTGGGTTTTTTCATAGAAGATTTTTAAGTTTTTGCTATACACATATAAGGAAAATCAATGACACCCCCCCCCCCCGGGCGGGGCCAGTTTTGACCCCAGGGCTTTTTTTTGAACATACTTGGTAGACACCCATTAGAACATGTTTCATGCTAAATATCTTAGCTCTAGCTCTTTAAGTTCTTTAAAAGAAGATTTTTTAAGTTTTTACTATATGCATATAGGGAAAATCAATGACCCCCTGGGGCGGGGTCAATTTTGACCCCAGGGCTTTTATTTGAACAAACTTGGTAGACATCCATTTGAAGATGTTTCATGCTAAATATCTTAGCTCTAGCTCTTTGGGTTCTTTAAAAGAAGATTTTTAAAGTTTTTACTACATGTATATGCATATAGGGAAAATCTATGACCCCCTGGGGCGGGGTCAATTTTGACCCCAGGGCTTTTATTTGAACAAACTTGGTAGACATTCACTAGAAGATGTTTCATGCCAAATATCTAAGCTCTAGCTCTTATGGTTCTTTAAAAGAAGATTTTTTTAAGTTTTTACTATATGCATATAGGGAAAATCTATGACCCTGCAGGGGTGGGGCCAATTTTGACCACAGGGCTTTAATTTTGAACAAACTTGGTAGACACTCACTAGAAGATGTTTCATGCTTAATATCTTAGCTCTAGCTCTTTGGGTTCTTTAAAAGAAGATTTTTTAAGTTTTTACTATATGCATATAGGGAAAATCAATGACCCCCTGGGGCGGTGCCAATTTTGACCCCAGGGCTTTTATTTGAACAAACTTGGTAGACATTCACTAGAAGATGTTTCATGCTTAATATCTAAGCTCTAGCTCTTACGGTTCTTTAAAAGAAGATTTTTTAAGTTTTTACTATATGCATATAGGGAAAATCAATGACCCCCCTGGGCGGGGCCAATTTTGACCCCAGGGCTTTTATTTGAACAAACTTGGTAGACACTCACTAGAAGATGTTTCATGCCAAATATCTAAGCTCTAGCTCTTTGGGTTCTTTAAAAGAAGATTTTTTAAGGTTTTACTATATGCATATAGGGAAAATCAATAACCCCCTGGGGCGGGGCCAATTTTGACCTCAGGGCTTTTATTTGAACAAACTTGGTAGACACTCACTAGAAGATGTTTCATGCCAAATATCTAAGCTCTAGCTCTTAGGGTTGTTTAAAAGAAGATATTTAAAGATTTTTCTTTCGGTTGCCATGGCAACCAGAGTTCTGCATGGAATTAAATTCTTTGAACAATTTTTAAAGGTGACCACCAAAGGAACATTCCTGTGACGTTTGGATGAAATTGGCTCAGTGGTTTATGAGGAGATGTCATTTAAAGCAAAAGTTTACGGACGGACGACGGACGGACGGACGCCGGATGAAAAGCGATCACAAAAGCTCACCCTGTCACTTTGTGACAGGTGAGCTAAAAATTGAACGACAACTTTAAAAGTTACATTAGTAGACATATATGCATAGTTTCAACTTTTCTATAAGAGAGATATATAGAGATACGTAAACATATACTGCATTTACCTTCAGTTTCACTGTCACTCTCAGTTTCAGGATTCAACTCAACCAGTTCAAACCCATTATCTATACACCATGTCTGTACTTCAAGTCGACCAACAGCTGACAAAATAATTATTATAACCATTTCATTATTTCATATATACTTATTCTATATACAATTGACTGAAATCTTTCATTGCTTTAGTTATTACAGAAAAAAACTAATTTTAATAATTCAAACAAGAAATGAAGCTGAACGGAAACAGACAACAAATCAACCAAACGTAACACAAGTGAGCCCAACTGCATAAGGAATTTTCTCAAATCCAAGTATTTAAAAAAACACTATAATAAATTAAATAAAATTTGATTTTTCCGCAACAACAGGTTGAGCAAGTGACCTGAAATATTGCATAAAGGTTATTGTTCTTAATCTTTATCAAATGGTACAAATATTTCAAAAGTCCAAAAAAAATCCAATCTCAGTGGAGTCCCTTTAAGTTTTGGGATTTTTGTTTTGTTTTTTTTGTTATCTCTAATTTGGTATTTGACTGTTATGACAAATCACATACATCATAATAAAATTATGATCATAACAACAATAATAATCCAATTATCTTATAAGATGGTCAAGTTTTACAGATCTGATAAACCATTCTTTCGAAGACAACATAGACACAAAGGTAACACTAAATATTTACCAGAATCATCCAAGCATCTGTCACATACTAACATCTTAATCTCTGGATCTATCTCCTTTAGATAAGCATTCCATAGTTTTACTGATTCAAAACTTTCTTTCTGCAACAAAAAAATATCTAAGTTAGTAATATATAAGTTAAACTTGAGATTGAAATTAAAACTGTATTGTTCATCTATGATGTTATTTATGTTACTACAGAACAACAGATATCACAGAACTATTTTAATAATGCATATATGTACACATATATATAAAGAAACAGGTCTATTGTGACTACTGTCATTAAGTATCCTGCTCACTTAACAGCACCTCTTAGGAATAACACTGAATGGCCTTCTATTTTCTAACTGTAAATAATAACCCAGGAATCTCATTTAATAAGGGACCCTTTTTCATTATTGGTTATTTCTGGGTTACACAACATGATTCAACAAAACTATCTAAATTTGATACTTTTATCTCCTTCAAGTTTGTTTACCTTTTCAGCATTGAAGAAGACCACAAAAGCATGTACTGACTCTGCAAACTGCTTATCTCCTATGGTCCTCTTCTTTGTCATACATAGTCGTACATCAGCTGTATAATATTTAGTATTAATACTCCAGTCATAACTTAATATATCCTCGATCACCTTCTTCCCTTCTGGTAAACACTCAACCTCTAGGATTTCTGAAAATAAAACATCTTGATGTAACAGAAATTTAGGAGAAAATATGTCAAGTGTCATGTTTGTCTTGTTGTTAAAAGCTCATTGGCATACCAACACAATTTAGGACATTTTAAGCTAAAACATGAAACAAGGTTGTGCCTAACAAACTTGAAGCAACACCTTTACCTGGAGGCTGGAGCTAAGGATTGCATTGACTTATTTAAACATTACTCGCCTCTTACCATCATGAAGGAATAAACAGTGGCTGCAGTTATGATGCCCCAATACTTAAAGGCAAAAATGGCCCCAATACTTAAAGGCAACCCCTCACCCAAAAGTGGTGAATTTAAACTAATTATGAAGTGTCAGTAGGTCTATTTACCCCAAGACTGCCCCATGACACCCTTAGACTACCCAGACACCCCAAGACTAATCCAAGACACCCTAAGACTACGCCAAGACACCACAAGACCACACCAAGACACTTTTACTGACATGTAAATACGGTGTTTACGGGAGGTAACTATGCGATTTCACATGTACATTGAATTATCTCCCTTCATTTATTTCCCTGTATTTTTTTGTAAGATTATAAATAGATTCTTTTTTGTGCAAAATAGTTTACAACAATGAAATAATGTCAAGGTTGCAGTGTTTTGGTGTAGTGCAAGTTTAATTCTGCAGCAATGTCATTTTATGAACAACAAATTTTTGATACCTGATTATTAAATTGGTCATATTTTGACAATTCTGTTATAATTTTTTATTTCATCTGCCCCACATTTCGTTAGATTAACATAGTCTTAATATTTCAGTAAAATTGATTTTAATCAAAATAGTTTTTTTCTTTAAAGAGCATACAGTATATTTTAAATATTTTAGTGACGAAAAAAAGCCCGTATACATAACAAGAGCTGTCAGTAGGACAGCAACGCTCGACTATTCTTAGTGCTTGATAGTAAAAACTAGAAATGTGTCATCATGCCACGGATGCCCCCGCATGCAGCCAAAATTTCAGATGTTATAATATTTAGTTCCAAATTTGTTTGCACAAATAATTTTTTTCATTTTAAGTTCAAAGCCCTTAAAACTTTTCAATGTTAACACAAACCATTTTCATACAATGTTCAAGGCACTGAAATTATTCAGTCTAAACCTTTTGAAAATAGCATATTTCATATTTGTAGCCAAAATAATGGCTACATACATTTCAGTGCTGAAACTGAAAGTTCAAAATTTTTACAACATTCAAGAAAGATAAGTTTGTCCAAATCATTGAACCACAACCAAATTCAAACTTAAACTGCTTATTCCTAAGATGTATCTATATTATTCTCAAAGTGAAAGGGACATAACTCTGCCAAAAAGTCATCGAACCATGACCAAATTCCAACTTGACCTGCCCATTCCTTTGACATATCCATATTTGAGTTGAATATGTAACACTGTTGGGTAGATAATGAACAGAAACTGTAAATTTCATATTATTTTCAAAGTGAAAGGGGCATTACTCTGCCAAAAATCATTGAACCATGACCAAATTCCAACTTGACCTGGGCATTCCAAAAACATATCCATATGTCAAATTTGAGTTGAATGTGTTGTACCATTGGGGAGATAATAAACAGAAACTGAAAATTTCATATTATTTTCAAAGTGAAAGGGGCATAACTCTGCCAAAAATCATTGAACCATGACCAAATTCCAACTTGACCTGGGCATTCCAAAAACATATCCATCTGTCAAATTTGAGTTGAATGTGTTGTACCATTGGGGAGATAATAAACAGAAACTGAAAATTTCATATTATTTTCAAAGTGAAAGGGGCATAACTCTGCCAAAAATCATTGAACCATAACCAACTTTGAACTTGACCTGCGCATTCCTGTGACGTATCCATATGTCAAGTTTGAGTTAAAAGTGTTGTACCATTGGGGAGATAATGACCGGAAACTGAAAATTTCATATTACTTCCAAAGTGAAAGGGCATAACTCTGCCAAAAATCATTGAACCATAACCAAATTCGAACTTGACCTGTATTTTCTCACGACATATCCATATGTCAAATTTGAGTTGAATGTGTTGTACTGTTGGGGAGATAATGAACGGAAACTGAAAATTTCATATTATTTTCAAAGTAAAAGGGGCATAACTCTGCCAAAATCATCATCGAACCATGACCAAATTCGAACTTGACCTGTATTTTCTCATGACATATCCATATGTCAAGTTTGAGTTGAATGTGTTGTACCATTGGGGAGATAATGAACGGAAACTGAAAATTTCATATTATTTTAAAGTAAAAGGGGCATAACTCTGCCAAAAATCATCAAACCATGACCAAATTCGAACTTGACCTGTATTTTCTCACGACATATCCATATGTCAAATTTGAGTTGAATGTGTGCAACCGTTACTAAGATAATGAACGGAAACTGATGATGACGGAATGACAGAATGACGGAATGACGGAAGGACGGAAGGACGGAATGACGGAAGGACGGAAGGACAGAACAGGGTAACACTATATGCCCCGGCCATTACATGGCGGGGGCATAAAAATGCTTGATACAGTTACCTCCTCCTGTTTACAGGTTGGGGTCATGATGGTGAACAAGTGTGCAAAGTTTCAAAGCCATATGTCAATGGACTTTGAAAATATTTGAACTATTACAAAAACTTTAACGTAAATTCTAAGTCAAAAAAGGGGTATAATTCTGTCAAAATGCTTGATAGAGTTACCTTCTCCTGTTTCACAGGTTGGGGTTATGATGGTGAACAAGTGTGCAAAGTTTCAAAGCCATATGTCAATGGACTTTGAAAATATTTGAACTATTACAAAAACTTTAACGTAAATTCTAAGTCGAAAAAGGGGCATAATTCTGTCAAAATGCTTGACAGAGTTACCTCCTCCTGTTTTCAGGTTGGGGTCATGATGGTGAACAAGTGTGCAAAGTTTCAAAACCATATGTCTATGGACTTTGAAAATATTTGAACTATTACAAAAACTTTAACGTAAATTCTAAGTCGAAAAAGGGGCATAATTCTGTCAAAATGCTTGATAGAGTTACCTCCTCCTGTCTACAGGTTGATGTCATGATGGTGAACAAGTGTGCAAAGTTTCAAAGCCATATGTCTATGGACTTTGAAAATATTTGAACTATTACAAAAACTTTAACGTAAATTCTAAGTCAAAAAAGGGGCATAATTCTGTCAAAATGCTTGATAGAGTTACATCCTCCTGTCTACAGGTTGGGGTCATGATGGTGAACAAGTGTGCAAAGTTTCAAAGCCATATGTCAATAGACTTTGAAAATATTTGAACTATTACAAAAACTTTAACGTAAATTCTAAGTCAAAAAAGGAGCATAATTCTGTCAAAATGCTTGATAGAGTTACCTCCTCCTGTCTACAGGTTGGGGTTATGATGTTGAACAAGTGTGCAAAGTTTCAAAGCCATATGTCAATGGACTTTGAAAATATTTGAACTATTACAAAAACTTAAACGTAAATTCTAAGTCGAAAAAGGGGCATAATTCTGTCAAAATGCTTGATAGAGTTACCTCCTCCTGTCTACAGGTTGGGGTCATGATGGTGAACAAGTGTGCAAAGTTTCAAAGCCATATGTCAATAGACTTTGAAAATATTTGAACTATTACAAAAACTTTAACGTAAATTCTAAGTAAAAAAAGGGGCATAATTCTGTCAAAATGCTTGATAGAGTTACCTCCTCCTGTCTACAGGTTGGGGTTATGATGTTGAACAAGTGTGCAAAGTTTCAAAGCTATATGTCAATGGACTTTGAAAATATTTGAACTATTACAAAAACTTTAACATAAGTGGTTACGCCGACGCCGACGCTCGGGTGACTGCAATAGCTCTACTTATTCTTATCGAATAGTCGAGCTAAAAATTATAACAATATTTGATGTATTGAACAGTAATTACAAGATGACAGTTAAATAATCAGCTGTCTTATATATTAGCGAGCTCGACGAGCTGGCCCGAAGGGCCTGCTCGCAAAGCGAGCTCTACGGTAACGCGAGTACCTGCTAAGTGATGGTTTTGAAAACTTTCGTCTAAAGTACCGAATTGGACACATCGCAACCTTTCGAATTTAAAGATAACGATAAACACTGAGGAATTCTGACTGAAAACGGATATGTAGACTGGCCACCCGCGTACGCCTATGGGAACCATAATTGGACAAGGAACCAGAATAACAGAAGCTGTGTATAAAAAATGAAAATCGAGGCCATTTTGTTTGAAAAATCTGATAAATAAAAACAATTTTTTGTCGATTTTTGTGGTGAAAACTATCTAGAATGAAAGAAAATGGTCTAACTAAGAAAATGAAACCGAACACCAATATCTTTTATTCAGTCGTTAACGCTGTACAGACGTTTAAAGTATTGTTTACGTGACGTCACAATGTAGCGCCAAACAGCACGTGAAAACAAACAATCAGGTACGCTTTATTAATGTCGCAAACGTTTTAAGTTTTACATTTATTTCTCTTTAAATAATCTTTATTTCGCTTAAAAATTATAGAGTGAAATTAAATAAACACAGTTTTATCAACGTTTTCAAAACGTGTTATTCATTTCACGACAGGGGCGGAGCCATATTTAACACAGTACGTGTGACATCACAGGCACTCGTCACTGCATTTGAAATAAAAATGAGCGATTATTTCATACTATTTCACGTAAAAAGTACATCGAGCTCGCTTTGAGGCTTTGCCTTTTTCATATTAAAACTTTCCCAATTTACACAATATACAAGTTTCTTGGGGAAGTCCTGGGACTAAAAATGTGTATATTTCTGTCCCAGATTAGTCTTTGGGTATCTTGGGTAAATAGACCGACCCATGAAGTGTTTAAAAGTGACTCACCAACTTTTTATACTTTGGTTGGAAATGTCAAAAATTAATTTACATTATCATGGAGCTAAATATACATATCTGTAACATTAGAGTGTATATCAAAATCCCCTTGATCATAATCCCCTTGGTTGAAAAATGACATAGTGATCGAAATCCCCTCAACAGAAATGACCGGGTGTTCATAATCCCCTTGATGGATAGTCAAAATCCCCTTGGCAAAAATGATGGGGTGGTCAAAATCCCCTCAACTTGTGAAAAACAACCCCCTTTACTCAATATACAGAAGCTTACGAGAACCTTTGTTACTTGTAATGAATTCCATTTTGGGTATTCATGTCTATTGCAGAGAGCCATCATATTATATACCCAACAAAATAACAGTTTGCAGTTAAGTAAAACAAAGATGAAGTAATTTTAGATAGCAAACTGCAATTAATAGCCTCATTTTAAGTTATTATCTGGAAAGATCTAAAGCTAGTGTGCAACAAATTTGCCTTTAAAGGTGTTTATCATTGCAAAGATTAATTGATTGTTTGTTACATATAACTATAATTGCAATGATTAATTATAATCAACTATCATTTATTTGTTTGTATTTTACAATTTTCTCAGCAATAATAACATCAATAAAGGGTGTCATTATTAACTGGCTGTGACAAACATACACCTTTTAATTGTTTGTATGCTTTTCTCTTTTTTTCAGCAATTCTTGAAGCAGTTGGTTCTTAAATTCATTGAACTAAAAAGAAAAATAAGAAAAGAAATTATTTGAGGGGATTTTGACTACCCACTGAGGGGATTATGACCACCCCTTTATTTTTGCCAAGGGGATTATGATAACCCTGTCATTTCTGTTGAGGGGATTTCGATCACTATGTCGTTTATCAACCAAGGGGATTTTGAGCGTCTCCCGTAACATTATGGATATGAAACTCCTAGGTGTGAACTTGCTTGGACCTGAAATAACCTTAGTTTGACTAATATTTGTCAAATTTATCTTTAACAAAACAAATTATGGTTAAAATTATGACAAATTTTCCTCGCTATGATAAATAATTCGAAAGATTATGAAACAAATAAAATATCATTTCTTTTGATAACATATATTAATGTGAGGTCAACCTTTAAGAAGGTTTCCAACAGAATATTCAGAACATGAAGTAAATAAAATGCAAGGGGTGGCCATTTTTTTAACCGGAAGTGCATAAAACGTCATCAAATTATGAGTACCATTCCGGATTGTTTCGGATATTTTCGTAATGAATAAGCCCGAGAATATCCGAAAGCTGTTTACTGTTGCTGAGGAACCTAAATGGCTGCAGATTAGTGATGACAAGTTGACACACTGATTTATGCACGTGAATGAATTGATTTAAATTGAGAAAAATGATGACGGATATAGAACATCGACCTGAGGATGTTGGGCAAATATTGATAAAGGCAAGACATTTATTGACATTTAAAAACAACATTTATGTCAGTCATAAATTCTTGTCAGTGACAGTGCACTGGCCATATGCTTTCAATTCCTTGGAAGATTTGTTTTGTCATGTTATTAAGTTTTATACATTTGCACTTTATAATCACTCTTTGTAAAGTCCCTGCTCTACTGAGTATATCAGGTGTTAAAATCCCTGCTCAAAACTTACAATATGAACATAGCATCATTTTGTTATCAAAAGTTAAACAAAAACCACCACAACACATTGAAGCAGGAGACGAAGAGTGGGGAGACAAGTAAAACAAAATGACATCACATCCCTCCAGCTATCCCGCTCTTCCCTGGATGTTTGTTGTTGGCAGTTACAAAAAGCCATTGAAATTTAGATACATATATATATATAGAATAAATTGTTAGATGCAGTCCAATGTGTTACATGGCAGCTACTCTAACCCTATCCCTGTATCCTCAGGTGTTCCCAAGGCTCAGTTCTAGGACCCCTCCTGTTTCTTGCCTATATAAATGACCTCCCACAAAACTTGAATTCCCAGGTCCGCTTGTTTGCAGACGATACTGCATAACTGCAATATACATTGCTCTGATATCTACAAACCAATCGGTCAACCTCCAAAATGAACTTAATTGGTTAGAAAAGTGGGAGTTGGAGTGGGATATGGAATTTAACCCCTTCAAGTGTCAAGTTATCCACGTCACAAAAGGGAAACATCCTTTCCCAACACAATACTACCTTCATTGAGTCCAATTAGAATCAGTTACCTTAGCTAAATACCTAGGCATGGATATATCAGAAAACCTTACATGGTTAGCCCACATAAACAGGACATCCAAGAAAGCAAACCAAACCTTAGGATTCCTACGCAGAAACATAAAGATTACATCCCAATCCATGAAGTCCATTGCTTACCAGACGTTAGTCAGACCACAGCTTGAATATGGTTCCAAAGTATGGTCTCCCCAATACAAATAGATCAAATTGATAATGTCCAATGAGATCAGCCTGATGGGTCAAGCTAGATTATGGTCAGACTTCACTCTCTTAAGCTTCTGGAACTCAGATGTATATATGCTAGGTTATCCCTTTTCTATAAGATTCACCATGGTCTGGTTGCTATCCCCATAGAAGAATATGTGACACCCCTTTCCCTGAACATCACACCATGGCCATCCCCTGTGTTATAGGTTATTCACAGCAACTTCAGACTGTTATACATTCTCTTTCTTTTCTAGGACAGTATGCCACTAATGAACCACCTAATCCCCGCAGTTCACCTACTGTCTACCTCAGAGCAGTTCATTGCAGCCATTATAAACTTGCATTGAACATGTCTCAACCTAGTTTTCCAGCCCATGTTTTTAACATTTTTTATATTCTTTTATCCTCTTTTAAATCAACTCTGTTTAACTTTCTTGCAATTTCGACACGCAGACATGTCTATGTCCCCGCGAGGGGTTTGACATTAGTGGAAGATAGATATGAAATTATTCTGTTAAACTTTCTTGCGATTTCAACGCGCAGACATGTCTATGTCCCCGCGAGGGGTTTGACATTTAAGTGGAAGATAGATTGATGGATATGATAAACCATACTGGCATGCAAGTAATTACAGCACAAAAGAAGTACTTGTTTTTTTCATGCAATCCATTGACATTTGTCAACTGTTTCTTTGATCAATTGAAATCCCATTGTGCAAACAACATCTAAATTCATGTTAGGTAAGTAGGATAAACAAATTCTGACTTTAAATAACTGTATGATAATCAATTGTATGTTGTAGAAACAGGACCAGAAGTTGTGAATATCAGAGCTTTGGGTTGTGGCAGGTGTGCACAGAATTTATTACCATTATGATGACCCTTTAAGTTTCGTTGTTCAGAAATGCAACATTTTATACCTATGATCTGTTGACAGAATGGAAAAATAAACTATGAAAACTTCACCTAAAATTTCTCCTATTTAGCTTGAGTATAAATGAATTGATTTCTTTAAGGTGTAAATAATCGTGCCCAAACAGTGGCTTAATGATATGTAAATCATGTTTGAGTGGGACTGTATTAAATTTTTATATAATAACTGAAGTTTTTGTTTGGAAACTACATTGTATCATATACCAGTATGAACTTTTTCTTTAAAGATCATAATGTGAAGTTATTAATTTTGAGTTTTTGGAAATAATGTATTAGTAGATGAATACCTTTCATTCATTATATAATATTCAAACCTATGTCTGACCGCCTAAAGCACCTTATAGCATAATCTCATTTTCCTGTCCCTAAAAGTTATTATGTAATCTTTGTTTGTGTCACTTGAAGAATGTTGTATTTTTAATTCTTGCATTATTTTTTTCCAGAAGTGTATAACACCCAGTCCTATAAATATGACGTTGCTTTTTTGAGATACATTATATGAAACTTCTGGCAAAGCCCAATATGTCAATAAAACTGTCACAAGTGCTTAATTTTTAAATTTTGGACTAAGTAACTGTTGGACCACCTTCTATGATATTCTAGGGTTTTTTTCTTCAGCATTTCATTAAAGAAATTTTGAACATTCTACTGTCGCTGACATATTTTTAAGTTATAAATATTTTTAACAGGTTATATGGCCCACTCACAAGATAAATGGTTATAACCTTATATTACCGGGGCTAATGAGTGAGGGTTAATTGTAATATTCAAAGCAAAGTTGCATTTAACAACTGTTTTTATAAGGTCATATAAACTTACAGAAATGAAATAGATAGCTTATTTCTTTTTCATATTTTTACCAGTTGGTGAAATTTAGACTTTCTACAGCTAGGTCCCTTAATTTGCTCATTTCATCTGAGTACAGCTTTGCCCTATTTTTTTTACTGTAATAGCCGTGGTATCCCTACTTTTCAACATTAAAAGAAAATAAATATTAAAAAATTGATACTCTAGAAAATTTATTCAGTTGTATTTTCATTTCTCTGTTATTTGTTTTTCATTAATTGATTTGTAATAGTAATTACTAATAAATGGTTTCAAATTGTGAAACAACATGGTTCCTGCAGTGCACTACTTGCTGACCTGTTAGTAAGTACTTATTTTGAGAGTTTCCCTTTAAATTGGTGATTGGTTTTGTCTAGATTGAAAGATGGACAAGTCCATTTAAGCTATTTTAGGTTGGTAAGGGTTTACTAGAAACATGTTTTTGAATTTTGCTTGGATCAGTATGAGGTTTCAAATGGAAGCGCCAAGTTTGATCCTTTCTTGGTAAAGTAAATGACTGCAATAATAATTACTTAATTATAAAGATGCTCTAAAGCACCTTTATGCAAAGGTTAAGTTACTAAATGAAATAATATTTCAGGAATATTCTGTCAATATACATGTAATTTCATTCTTTAATATTATATAATTGTCATTTTAATAACTAGATAGTTGATATAAAAAAAACAACAACAAATAATAAGATTTGTTGAGTGATAATATTTTATAAAAAAAAAGAAAAAAAATGGAACATATTTGTACATATTGACTCTAGCAACCAGCTGATTAAAGGTACTCATAATTTTTCTTTATCTTCAATTTGTTATTCAACATTTGCATGGTTTGTACCTTTCAAAAACACTCGAAAGGCTTTTTGCCACCAGTATTTGTATGAACTATGTATAACT